CACTCTTTCTATTGAATAATGTATAAGAGGCAAAATTGTTGTTTTTTCCCTATTTATACAGCAGTTTTATTCATTATGCATGTGTTAATTCATGTATTAAAGTCATTTCATGCACATGAGCCATGCCGAACTGCAGCACTCTGCATAGCACATCACTTCACACCTGCCTCTTCCGTATAATTTTCATTCACTTCAAATGCTAGTCTTCATTCTCTGAATATGTTTGGCCACTTTGCTGCCTTTAGGTATCTCTACAGATATGATTGTAGCCTACATGCCCACAACTCCATTGAATTAAATGATTGTCATTGTCTTTCTGCAAGAATTTCATTTTTCTAGCCAACTGAAATCTGTCTGCCCCATATTGCAACAAAAATATGACATGGCACAAATGGACATTTTTCTTCTAAATGCTGTTTGTTTAAATAAGCCTCCTTTAGACAATGTTAACTGAAAATAACCCTTATTAAATGCCTTCAAGAGTGAAAAGAAATGTGAAATAAAAGCAAATGTTGGGTATTTTTAGTCAGATAGAAATTGGATAGATACTTTATGTATTAGAAATGTTTAGTGGAGATAGGATGTCTAGACTGTTAAATGCTTAGTCATGCTTATGAGTTTCTACAGGGTACATCTGGTCAAGGATACCAGAGAGAAGAGTTGATGACTGTCAGCAGACAGGATGTTTAATATTATTATGATGTGTATAACTGTAGCCTTAGCCATAATATGTTCTTATGTTTAATATCACGACATGTTACTAGAGGTCGTGTTGCTTCATGTTTTGACTACTGCCATGCCCAGCTGCAAAGCTGGTAACAGAGACGTCTCGGTTGACGTTTCTGTGTAGTATGGGGCTAGCCCAACCGAGGTGATATAATGTATAGGCCTGGTGGGTTCAGGGTCTTTCATCTTACATCTGCCTGCGAGCAGTTTGGAGGTGCAAGATACCTGAGTGTGTAATGTTAATTTTACCTGTGTTCATGGAATAAATCAGCACTGTTTTGAAGTTACTTGGACTGTCTTGTCTCTCAGAGTTAGCAATGGTAACAAGAACCAAAATAGTCCTATACAAATAAAACATGAATGGTGCCTGTGTTTGTCTAGTAGTATATGATGCTAGAGCAGCAGGAGTGTTATTGTTTACACTGTTTAGGTTGTTTACACATTGTTATTGTTTATGATTGTTTTGGCAAAGGAATTTTCAAATGTTACTGATAAATACAGTATGTACCATATTAGCCTATATGACTAGTCTAACAAAAGACAGCAAGATAGAGGATGCAGGTAGCACAGCAAAACAAAACTGAAACTGAAACAGTACCATCTGGCTGCACATGGAAGATAATGCATTTGCATGCATGATGAAGCCACATTTCCCTTTATTAAATTTCATCTGGAGCTTTTCCCAGTCCCATTGCAGCCACTAAATGAAGTCGCAAAGAAAAAGTTCTATTTTGTCTGTGCAAAGAGCCACCCACTGTGTCTGAAGCTCACTAATGACACGTTGCGCTGTTATGGGGGTTGTGTGCAGGACTACAGTATTTACTGGGCACAGGAAACCCCTCTAAAACACCACCTTTTCATTTCTACACTTGCGTCCTAAAATGGAAAATAACACTTTTAGCACAGCTTAATTTCTGGTTGCCTGTAACGATGACTTGAAGGCCATTCATACGCAATAGACCATAAAATAGACCAAGCACAAGACGCAGCCCGCCGGCCGTGACTCAGCTGTTTCTGCGGATGTGACTTCCCTTGTTAACAAGCAAACGTTTTGATGTATTTTTTTCGCCCTACTACATTATCCCGCCCATAAGCGTCATGGTGATTCAAACTGCAGCCGAGGCACACGGAGAGAAAGCGGTGCGCCCGGCTGCTCCCACACATTCACGCTCTCAGAAGCAGGGAAGCGCAGAGCGTGGCAGAGCTCGGGGATCCTTCAGTGTGTTTTCACTTGCATGAACACAACCGTAGACCCCCCAGGATCTAAAGATGTGGACAGAAGTCGGAAAGCTTGTGCTATTATATTTGTTACTCATGGAGCTCCATTGCGCTAAAGGTAAGACACTTGACTCATCGCGGAGGTGAAATGTCCGGACATCACGGACAGCAGCGCTTTGTGGAGCGTAACCTAGTGAAAAACGACTTGTCTGTTAGTATCCTCCGTGTTTTTCATAAGTGCTGCACTTGTACGACTTTAAAACTGTCACTACATAATGCTCAAACCTTTATTGCGACTTTTGTCCGCGATCTCCGGTTATACATTCAGTGACAATACGCGGAAGAAAGATCGCGCAAACTAACACGTGTCCAAATGCAGTACGTTGATGTTATAGCGAGAAGAGGCTGTCAGGTGGTGATGTGCACAGTGCACCATGTGCAGACTACAATGGTCTGCCTTTGGTTATTTGCAGCTGCATCAAAATGCCGGTTGATTAGATTTGACAAAAGAGGTCTTTAGATGTACGTGTCAGCAGGACACTGGAGGTAGGCAGTCATGGTGGCAGTGAGGATATACTGTTTGTACATAACAGACTTCATAAACAAAATGCAGAATTGCATTAACATTGGATATGAGAAGTGATTACAATAGCACTGCCTTGGCAGGAAGCTAATCTACTGAATGACTTTCACAACAGCAATCTTCCACTGTACAGCCCCTCAATACAAAAACGTTTGCTCACTTGCAGTATCTGTTTAAATGTTGTTTAACGTGAATATTGTTGAAATATGTATATTCATATAGCTAACCACTAAAACAGAAGAAGCACAGCAATGCAGACAGTTTGTGGTTGAGCATTGTTTTGCCACAGGCTGGTCTTGATGAAGTTCCTTATACAGCCTATCCTGTAAATGAGCTATCACTGTGTATCTATAGATCTAAAATGTGATATCTTTTTTAAATAGACTGTACTGCACTTCATGGTGTTGTTTGGTCTCGCACCCTGTTACTCTGTTCTTCACAGCCGTATCACTAAATGAACCAAAGAAGTGCTTTACAACTTGATGTTTGTGCTCCAACACAGGAGCTCATACGGAGTCAGAGTGTGAAACCGGGCAGTTTCAGTGCAAGAACGGACGTTGCATCCCAACCCTGTGGAGATGTGATGATGATGATGACTGCACAGACAGCAGCGATGAGGAGAACTGTCGTAAGTGACCGGTTGTTGCTACACTGGTGGATAAACATAATGCTGCTTGTTGGCCCATGGACCTTTAATATAGTACTAGCATCATGTGTGTTAAAACCGGAGTCTTAATCTAGGACAAGGACTCCCAAACATTTTAACATGAAGGATAATTTGACATGTTTGGCACCAGATCATTGTTTTATGGGATTATGCATAATGCTTTCTGATATGGGCTGCCACATAAAGGGACAGCAGTGTATGCTGCAGGTAGATGATTATATCCTTGTTGTAACTTTTGAATGAATGAAGTTATTCAGAGAATAAGCCCCTTATCATTTTGCTTGGGGCCCCTCTGGCATCTCCCTGTAGTTGTTAGTCTGCCAATGTCTGATCCTGGATCACTGGTCAGATCACGTGGCCACAGGAGTTGTACTCCTCATTTCTTATTAATTTTACTTCCTGGCCAAAACCTGTGACACAGGGAGCGCTGTTTCCCCACTGGGTCAGACCATGGCCATCTCATATTATTATCCCCATTACTGTTACACTTCTCTTGCTGTGACTGTGTAGAGGTCACGTGATCATCAGTACTGTTACCAATGTGACAGTTCACCCTGCTGTACTGTCTCAATGTTTTGGATGTATAATAGCTTCACAGATTGTGTCATGTCTGAAATAGGAATGGTAAAATTGCAGCGTTGTGTCATGTCACTGCTGAGCAATGCAGCTCTAGTGCAAATACTGGGGCTCTTAGATAGGCCTGACCACAAATTGGCTGCTTTTCTGCGGTGCCTCTGCTTGTGTGGGCAGATGGTTTGAAATTGGAGTTTATAATATGGAATTGCTCTTCTAATACTGGGCAATCAAACGTTGTATTGTACACTTAAGGACTGAGTGAAAGATACCAGTAGTATGTGATTCTGCCTCTGACTCTGTTCCAACTAGCTGAGTGATCATGGCTTATAACTTTGTCACAGTATTAATTGCTTGACTGGTTACAATAGTGGCCAATTGATTCATCGCTCCTGTTGGGGACCAGTGCACCAAAGTCCTGATTCTCTCATTTAACACAAGCGCCATGGTGGTGGCCGCTGAATATCCTGGGAGTTCCCTACATGAATGCTGTGACATTTACAAGGGTGTCTTATTGACTGGAGAGACTGATTGGGATTATTGGACATTTAGTGGGCAATGCTTGATGGAAGCAGAATTAGCTTTTAATGAGCTCTTCTGCACTCTAAGCATGCGGTTTACTTTGCTGTTTAGTTTAACCACTGCTCAAAGTGAATGTGAATATAGCACTTAAAGTACAAGGTGCTGGACTCATACAGTATTTTAATTGAGCCACTTTGTGGGAGAAATGTGCTTTTCTCTTTCTTCTGTCTTCACTCTGGTGGCCACATACAGTATCCTGTGAGCTTCAGATGTGGTTATGTATTTCTCTTGGGCTCCTCTGTCACTCTCTTGATCTCTTCCCCCGCTCAGACTCTAGCTTTATCTACTGTTACCCCTCTTGCTGTGCCTTATAAACTCTTCCATCCCTTGATTTCTTTCTATATCCTACCTGCATTGCATGCTCTACTCACTGAATGCTTCAGCCCTTAGCCTGTGCTGGAAGTTGGGTGCTTCTGTCTAAAAAGCTGTCACACTTCCTTGGCACTGGAGGACACACTTTTAAATCTTGTGTGGGCACCTTGGCAGTGCCACTGCCCAAGAGGCTATGCCCACTTGTCTTACGCCCACAAAGAGCATCAGCTGACAGGTTGGTAGGAGATAAATCCAGCAGCGTGACTGGTTGCCAGGGTGACGCTCAGTGGATGGCAGCGTGCCAGCCCTTCAAACAGATGCCAGTACCGCCAGTGTGCCCCTTCACCAGAACCCAATATCACCAGCAGAACTCAGTGGAGAGGGGGAGGCAAAGAGAAAAAGTTGGGACAGATTTTATTGGGATGAGCAGACATGGTGTGGAAAATAGGAGCAAAGTGATTTTGAGGAATGGGGAGGGGGCAAATGAAAAAAGGAGCGAACATATTATATTATTGCAAGGAGAACTGGGATAAGCCTAACCTAGCAAAGCCAGCAAACATGCTTGGTGTCCTTCATGGTGCTATGAAAAAGGCTAAATAAGCTGGGTACAGGTGTCGTTTAAAGTGCGAGATACATCACATCACATCTTTCATTAAGAACTTCTTGTCATATCCTTTCTGATGTTTGTACTGATTAACTGTAGTGTAACCAGTTGCATATTGTGGACTTCTGTGGTTGAAATTCTGGTTAGATGTGTTAGTTAAATTACGTGGGATTCGGACAATGTAACAAGAAGTCCTCACACCTCTACAACCCATATGGTCGTTTGTCCCTGAGAGGGAAGGGACAAACGAGACATTGTGTCTTGTTGTTACTGTGACTCACGTCAAATGTAACCCTCTGTAGTCTGGTTTGGTCAACATTGTGTATGTCAGTATGCGCGTACACACGTACACCCATGCACAAAGGTCTCACAGAACGGATCACCCCCTATAGCATCCTCCCTCTAGCAGCTCTATTAGAATAACCAGTTGTGGTTGACTCGGTTGTCTTTTGTGCCTTGTCTCTCCTTTCTTTCATTCTGTCTTCTTCTTCCTACTGCTTCTCTCCTTAATTCTCAGCATGCCTCTTGGTAGATTCTACTCTTGTTGCCCTGGGAGACAGTAAAGCGGTGGTGATTGTGGTGGTGGAGTTTTGTGTATATGTGTGCTATCTTTGTTGTGAACGCAGCACTCCTGCACACGTGTATACCTACACATGGCAACTCTCCATGTCCGCACGGCGCTGTGGCCTATATCTTAGTTGTGGAATACAGAAAAGGGCCTTATAATTTTACAGTGGATTTAAGTGGATGTCAATGTACGTAATCCAAAGTGCGACTGTAAAACAATCGCATATTTCTGCATCGTGTTATCTTTCAGTTCTTCTGTCTATGTCACATCACTGTACAGTTTCTAGCTCCTCCTCATGGCTTTGGCTACACTGTAAAAGCAGGATCTGTAAAGTTTTTAATAGCAAACATACAGGCACAGTATAAACCTGGAATCAGCTGTGATGGTTAGTATTGTGAGGTGATGATTAGTAAGGATTATTCACTTAATCAATGGCTGTTGTTTAAATACTGTATATAGCAAAAAATGTGTTACAGCTTCATAAATGTGAGGATTTGCTGCTTGTTTGTCTCTGTTTTATATAAACGGTGCTTTTAGGTTATACATCATTGGTAAGATAAGACAAACACCTTTCCAGGGACTGTAGGAAAATGCGATGGGTAATTTCTGCCACTATGTAGATGTATAAGTGTTAGTTGCCTCTGTAGGTATGAATCACACTGTGCTAAAGGATAGGAAGAAATGATCTTAAACTTTAAATGAACCCTGGAAAAACAAGCGGATGGAAATGTAATACACAGAACACATAAGGGTGGGAAGAAAGTTCCTGCTGCGCTCCGTGTGCACAGTATGTGTGTGTGTGTGTTTGTGCGTCACAGCAGGACAATGCAGGTTTGAGAAGGAGAGCGTCTCCTTTGCGGCCTGAGACCAGCTTCCCATAGAGGAGAGATCAGAACACATTTCACGCCACTGCCCTGTGTGTATGTCTGTGAGGCCAGGCACTCTCTCTCTCTCTCTCTTACACACACCCACACACACATATAAGGCTATAATAACAGACTGCAGAGAAGCGCTTCAGGATTAAAAGGCATTATACTGATAGGCTCACAGAAACACATTTTTATCACCTGCTGATCCAAAACATACACACTCATTGGTGTATAGTCTTTCTACAATTGTGAGGACCCTCATTGACATACTGCATTCTCAGGCCTACCTTTATACTTAATTATCACAACTAAATGTCTGAACCTAAACCTGATTTTAACCTGAACCCTAAAACCAAGTCCCATCCCAGTAAGAGGCCTGTGAAGTTGTGAGGACTGGCAAAAACGTCAGTTAACATAACTTGACAAATAAAGTTTTAACAAACTACAAATAAACAAATTATCCAGGAATGGTCCAGGAAGTTGGTAACTCAAAAGAACGTTCACACACATTAACAATACAAAATTAACCAAATGTGCATGCTTCATTGATTAATTGTATATGTCAAATCAAACGCCTAACTTCTACCTACAATCCAAACATTACCTAGCTAATTCTACAGCTGGTGGTGGCTTCGGCCCTCACATGGTGAAGACCAAGGCTGAGGCCAAAAACCATTTCCCAAATAGATAACAGCACACAAGAAACGGATCTGGCGAAACTGGTTACTTGGTGAACAGGATAAAACCATAAACATTTTAATAGTTTTGGACATAATTTCTTATCTCATTTTTATTTTCCTGTGCAGCGAGCAGTTTTTGCCAAACTTTCAAAACTTTTCTCCTTTTTTCCTGCCTCCAGTCGGACTTAGGGTTATGGTTAGGGGGGGCACAAAAAATCCTGACAACTATTGCTTTAAGAGAGAACACAGACACAAACACCATGCATGAGTCCTTGATGGATCATTTTCCTCGGTGCCCCACGCTACTGTCACACTTCCACTACATTATGTTGGGTGACAGTGGGAGATTAATATCTCCAAAGTGAGGAAATGGAAACTTCTGGCAGCCCGGAGGCTAAATGAGACTACATCTGAGGGTTCTGACAGTCCTGTGTAGCAGTTTTGAGAAGCATTCCATGAAATAAATAAAAGTGTTTTAATGATGAACTATTGTCTCCGTTTCCTAAGAAATGGAATATGGTGATTAAAATATGTGAAACACACTGGTTGCTCAGAAATAGTTGGAAGTAGTTTCACAATGATTAACATGGCTATATTTAATCAGCTATACCGGGGCTTTATTCATGGTGTTTAATTATTCATTCACACCAGAAAATTAAACCTTAACAAGCGGAGATGCATTGATACCGATACCTGTAATGGATATTGGGTCCGATATCACCCTCTACTGCTCATACTCATAAAAGTTGTCAAGAAGGAAGGAACAAGAAGGA